TCAGTTTTCAATGCAAAATTATAATGTGTGGATCAACCCCGCAGATCCCTCTCCCCCGCCTGCCGGGATCAGACCCCTGCGTCCATCCGGCCCGGTGTCCCCCCCTCCCCGCCTGCTGGGATCAGACCCCTGGGTCCATCCAGCCTGTATCCAACCTCAGACAGTGGCCAGCACGGATAGTTTTATGCTAAGGTCTAGACTCTAGAGTGCTGGCCAGTTCTGCAATCATGGAATCTATCCATCCCCATCTGCCCCCTTCATCTATCCCCTGCCCACTCCCACCATCCCTCTCTGTATCTGGGCGTTAATCTCTTCCTAGCACGGTCACACCCTTCCAGTGTGAGCCATATGCCCCCTTTCTTTTGACACTCCGTTTTTGAGCCCATGGCCTCATGTAGCAATGAGTTCCACAGGCTACACACCTGGGACCAAACAAAGCCAACCCATGGGGACCAGAATGCCCCAGGGCAGGAGAACCAAGCCAGCAACACCAGGGCTGAGAGGGCAACCCCCAGGGAGGGTTAACTGGGGGACAGGGTATGGCTGGAATTTGGGTTAATCCTCCGTCCCGTGCAGGAGGAAACATGGGATCAGGAGAAGGAAGAAACGAAAGAACACGCACACTCCGGGTGGGAGGAGAACACCACAAGGATGAACAGGACCAAGGGAATTACGTGACAATGGCGGATCTGTGAAGGCAGGACAATGACAGGCCAGGCCTGGGCTGTTTCTTACTGGTCAGTTCCAAGTTGAATCGGGCAGAGCTAGTGGAAGTGCTTCGCACACTCATGTAGTTGAATTCAGCTCTCTGGATAAAGCCAGTTATTAACATGCTCTGGTTTATTATTCTACTGCGTGTTATTGTACATTTTATTACACAATAGATCTTATTTAGTGTACTATTAGTAATGTATTGTTGAATGAGACAATATACTAATATTGTAATATACTACTGCTAGATTATATTCACAGTACCTCTTATTACCATGTCATTTACTATTATTAATTAATTTACTGAGATCGACAGACAACGTGCTATTAATTGAAATCCACTGCTGAGAAGTACAATATGAGAATTACGCATTATTATAGTTTACTGTTTATTAGATCATCTTGATAGTACATCTTATTACTAAGTATTAATTATGTTATTACCATTAATTTATTGCGATCCACTGATGAAAAGCACTATATGAGAGCTAGGTAATGTATTCATATTAGAATGCTATTTTTATTATATTATGCAGTTATATTATCACATCACTATTTTATACGTATGATATTATTATTAAGGTTATTATATTAAGAGCTACTGAGGGAAAGCATTATTTGACAACTAGGAATTATTATACTATTGCGTTTATATTGTAATATACTATTTTATGATGCTATATTTATAGTACATCTTAGTAATAAGTATGAATTATTTTCTTAATACTAATTTATTAAGATCGACCGATGAAAAGCACTACATAAATGCTAGATTTTATGTATTATTAATAATTGACATTCATACTCATATTATTTTTGCCTCCTATCAAAAATCCCTCCAATCTCAACCAGCCTGGCCTCTGTGTATGGGGTGGGGGGCTGAATTCAGCTAATGCCCCCATCCCTGTTGTTAAACTAAATATACCCCAGTGACACTCACCCCCCCCAAAATACAGATCTAAGTGTAGCTGCAAAATCCCTCCCCCTCCTGCACCAACCCCCAAGAATTTGCAAGAGCAACCCCTTGTGCCCTGGGGGAAGGGGAAGCAAGAACTGAAGTCAGGTCACCTGGAGGAGTGAGAGCACAGTGTGTGTGACTCACTAGAGCCCTGGGCCCCCAATCACAGAGCACGACCCCGCTGTGTCAGGTGCTGTACAAACACAGAACAAAAAGCGTTAGCAAGCTGCCAGTCCAGGCCCCAGCCTCCAGCGGCCAGGAGCTACCCAGGAGCTCGTCTCTGCAGACTGCGGGGATGTGGAGCTGGAACGGTGCGGTGCCTGGGAACCACAAGGCGCTGTGGCTCGCTAGCGACGTGCCCCACGGCTCAGGGGTGAGCGGGGGTCTGATGGGAGCTGGGGGGGCAGCTATATGCCAGACTCCCAAGCCAGTCTGCAGAGGGTGATGGGAGCAAGCACGAAGGGGCCCCCGGGTTGGGAGCGGGTCCTTGGGGCGTCCCCCAGTGGGATCTGCTACTCGGAGGCAATGATGGCACCCGGGAGTTCCCAGGGCGCGCCTAGGGCTCAGAGGGACAGAGGGGAGCCGGGCTGTGGGTGGACTGAGAGCGAAGGGCCACTAGATGGCAGCAGCGGATCAGAAATGGGGGGGCTCTGAGTATAAAGTCTAGATCCCCATCTCTGCCTGTCCAGCCAGCCCCCCACCCCTCCTTCTGCCCATCCATCCCAGACCCTCCCCACATCTCCCTCCATCCAGCCCCCCCACCCCTCCTTCCCTCCCTGCATCCAGCCCCCCACCCTTCCTTCTGCCCATCCATCCAACCCCTCACACACCCCATCCCTCCCTCTGCCTGTCCAGCCCCCTACACTCCCTCTCCATCCACCCCCTAGGCCTCTCTCTATCCATTCTCCCCCCACCCCCACCCACGGTGATAACTGGCCCGACACACGTCCCTGAATTTTGAGCTGAGCTGTAGAGGGGGTGAGTGTCACAGGAGCCTGTCACCACGAATACAGAAGGGAAACGGAAACGCTGAATGAGTCCGAACGAGGAGGCCTCGGCTCTCACCCAAGGGCCGTGCTGAGATCACGCCCCTAAGCGGTGGCATCCTCTCTCCCCATGTGTCCTTTTCCACCCCTCTTCTTTCCCCTCGTCTCTCCCCCCTTTTGCCTCCTGTCTAAGGAGCGTCTGGCGTAGCCGGCCAGGCCTGCACCCTGCTGAGAGCCTGCGTGCAGAGAAGCAACGGAAGCAATACTCTAACCAGCCCAACATGGGATGAGTTTGCCAGGTCTCCGCGCGGCTGCTCAGACCGTGTGCTGGGCCCGTGTTTCTCCAACCGCCAGGTCGCAAGCGAGAGTCAAAACATAAGAACATAAGACTGGCCATATTGGGTCAGACCAAAGGTCCATCCAGCCCAATATCCTGTCTTCTGACAGTGGCCAATGCCAGGTGCCCCAGAGGAAATGAACAGAACAGGGAATCATCTAGTGATCCATCCCGTCACCCATTCCCAGCTTCTGGCACAGAGGTTAGGGATACCATCCCTGCCCATCCTGGCTAATAGCCATTGATGGACCTATCCTCCATGAACTTATCTAGTTCTTTTTCGAACCTTGTTATAATTTTGGCCTTCACAACATCCTCTGGCAAGGAGTTCCACAAGTTGACTGTGCATTGTGTGAAGAAATACTTCCTTTTGTGTGTTTTAAACCTGCTGCCTATTCATTTCATTGGGCGACACCTAGTTCTTGTGTTATGAGGAGTAAACAACACTTCCTTATTTACTTTCTCCACACCCGTCATGATTTTATAGACCTCTATCATATCCCCCCTTAGTCGTCTCTTTTCCAAGCTGAACAGTCCCAGTCTCATTAATCTCTCCTCATATGGCAGCCGTTCCATGCCCCTAATCAGTTTTGTTGCCCTTTCCTGACCCTTTTCCAATTCCGAGACAGAGACAGAAGCTGCGTTTTGCAGGGGTGCTGCTGTTCTCTCTCCTTGTGCGTGTGTCTGACTTGGTTCGTCTGCTAGAAAATGGGACTGGACTTTAACCGCAGCAGCAAGAACAGCTCCAGCCCAGGTCACGTTCTTCTCTGTTCCCCAAGAGAACAGTCATGCCCCTGCCCAGGACACTGCAAATCAGGGGGCTTTCCTGCTCAAACCTGCCACGGCGAGTTAAAGGGAACAAAACCAGGTGGGTTATAGGACAGCCTCATTTGGTGCTGTACGTTGCCAAGGCTTGAACCATTTTTCCTTCTTCTCTGTAGCTTCGACAACAAGTTAACAAAAACGCCGGGTGTTTGCCAGAGCGCCGAGCAGGCGAAAGTCTCTGCTACCAAACCCCGAAGCCTGTCGGGCACCGGTTCCGCAGGAATTCAGTTACGGGGGCATTTCTGGACCCCCTATATTCCATCTAAAATACATACAACAAATCTTTTCTATCCAGCTAGCCTCCATCCATCTCTCCACCCCCCCCTATCGCCCCCCCTTCCCATCCATCCACACACCCCCCACGCTTTCCCGTCCATCTATCAGCTCCCCACACTCCCTTCCTACCCATCCATCCACCCCCACACACCCTCTTCCCATTTCTTCATCCCCCCATATCGCCTCCTCACCCATCTATTCCCCCACACCCCTTCCCATCCCCCCACCTTCCCACTCATCCACCCCCCACACCCCTTCCCGTCTGCCCCCCACACCCTTCCCATTGCCCCCACCTTCACATCCATCCCTGTCCCACAGCTCTTCCCAGCCATCCATTCCCCCTCCCCCTCCTAATATCCGCCCGTCCCTCTCCCCCCAGGCTGTCCCTGCCCTGGTCCCCAGCGGGCTGGTCTCTCTACGGGGTGTCACTTCCCATCGCATCTCCCCACTTCCTGTTCACTGACCAGCCCAGCTCCTGCCAGGGCGGGGGGAAAGGAGGGGGGCGGAGCCCTAGACAGGCGTCCCCCAATCACAGCGTGCCCCTTCCTGTCGGCCAATCAGGAGGCCGGGGCAGCCAGCCAATGGGAGGAGAGGGCCGTGCCTGCTATTAGAGCTCACGCCCTCCCGGCATGCTGTGCGGCGCGGACAGCCATGGAAGCAGCTCGGGGGGCGCCCAGGGGGCTGGGAGGATCCGCTGGCATCCTGACCCGGGGCAGGGGGCACCGGCTCGGGACGGGGCTGGCCCGGCAGCGGGGAGCCTGGGGACTGGTACGGGAGCGGCCGCCCTGAGCGAGAGCAGCGGAGTGAGTGGTTTGCACCGGGGGTAGGTGGGCGCTAGACCCCGGCTGTGCTAGGCGCTGCACAGGCGCAGAACAAGGAGACAAGCCGCCCCCCGCGGCCGGTGGCTCCGGGACTAGACCCCAGGACTGGGATGAGAGAGCTGCAGGCAGCGCAGATCTTGTATGGACAATGCTGGGTGTGTGTTGTGTTAAATCCTGTTGCCGGGCAGTTGAGTTCTTGCATGGACAATGCTGGTGTGTGTGTGTGTGTGTTGTGCACGAGGCGGGCGGGCGGCGCTAAGGTCCTGTCCCCAGCCTCTAAGGTCTTGCAGGCACGCGGCTGGTTGTGTGTGTTGTGAATAAGGGTGCAGGTTTGTGTCAGATGGTGCTGCATGCAAAGACAATACTCTGTGTGGATGGGGGTGCTGCATGCACACACACAGAGCTGTGTCTCACTTTGCTGGCAGACTACAGACGGTCTCCTCAATGATTGGTGTTGCGGGTGGGCCTGGTTCAGTCATTCAGATTAAGGGTTTTGTTGACTCCCAGCAGTTGTGCGTTTTAACGCAAACCAGTGCGGAGAAATCCCTGCAGTGGCAGGGGTTCAGGGTTGCGGTGGTGCGTACAGGTGCGCATGTGTTAGTCGTAGGATTGTGTGTTGTGCCATCAGATCTGCATGTGGCTGTGGTTAGGGTTGTGTTTGCAGGAGTGGAGAAGTGTGTGTACTTGTGTTTAGGGAGGGGTTTGTGCATATGCAAGTATGTTGTGTGTCTATTGTGCATTTGTGTGTAGGAATGTATGTTATGTCTGACTGTATTGCACATACATATGTGGACGTCTCGCTCTTTAGTTGTATATATGAATGTCTGTAGATTATGGCTGTGATTGTGTGTTGTGTACACAAGTCTGTATTTGTGCATGCATTGCTGTGTATACAGGTTGTGCACATGGTGGACATTGTGTCTATGATCATGTGGGTAGGGACCCATGTGTCACTGGGGCTGTAGTTGGTGGTGGGTTGTGCAGGAGGGTGAGGGGATGCGTGTGAGCACTGTGGTTGTGTGTGTGGGTCAGTATGGTGTCTGTGGGCTGTGGTTGTGTGCATGTGTACACAGACAGGTGTGTGTGTGTCCACGTGCTGTGTCTGGGTGAGCGAGTCCATCTGGGTAAGTGCTCCTAATGGTTGTTGGTGTGTGAGATATACCGGGGTAGGGACAGGGATGCCCCATGGGGTGTGCTCTGGGATGAGTCCCTCTCACCCCAACCGGCCCGCACTGTCCCATGTGCTCACTGGGGTCCAGAGGGCAGTGACGAGGGGTCCCTATGGCTGGGGCTGCCTCTGCTATACACTACCCCCCCCCAGCTCTGCCGGTGCCCCTCACTCCCAACCCGCAGCCCCCTGCTAGCCCAGCCCTGGGCTCCCCCCACAGCTCCTCTCTGTAACTAACTGTAGATAGATTAATCACTTTTCTCACACACACCCCGTCATCGTTTCCAGCTTCTCTTATATTTTCCCTGCATTCCCACAGGCTGCCCACTGCGGAGCGGCTCGTGCTGGGACCCAGCGATCTCCAGGTCGTCGAGCCGAGGGGTCTGTCTGAGATACCTGCCATCACCGTGGACCTCTATCAGCCCTGACAGGTACTGCTCGACAGAGTTATATACCCCACGGCAGTGGGGTCCAGTGGTTAAGGCAGGGGGGCTGGGAGCCAGGACTCCTGGGTTCCATCCCTGGCTCTGGGAGGGGAGTCAGGGTAAGGTCAGGGGTGAGCCAGGACTCCTGGGTTCTGTTTTAACCAAGTGTCCTTGAATGTTCTGACTTACTGTGGCTAGGAATTGCAGGCTGCCTGTTTCTCACTGAGGTGGGGGTGATCAAAGGGTTAATCCCTGGCTTTCCCATGGCATGCTGGGAGGTGTAGTCCTTAGGGCATGAGACTGAGGGGTTGTTCATTCCTTCCCACTCTCCCTCCCTCCCCACGAAGCAGGGGGGTCTGTTAGGTGGTGCCTGGAGTAACCTCAGCCAATGAAGCCTGAACAGGTGCACTTTGCACTGCCAGCCCAGACACCTGGGTCCCCTTCCCTATCCTGGTCTCTGATCCCCTAGGGGTGAGTGCCCTGTACTGCCCTCCCAGATACCTGGGTCCCATCTCAGTCTCCATGTCCCGGGGGGATGGGGCAGGACACCCTGCAATAGCCTCCCACAAAGGCGTGCCCGTACCCTGCACTGTGTGGGCACGTAAGAACCGGAGGCAAAGCACTGAAAGTAACGAGTAACGGGACAGCTGCTCCCTGGGCTGCTCCTGGATCGTCACTTCCTACACTTTCCCCTGCAAGGACTGGCTGGCTCACGGGGTGGGGCAGTGGGGCCTTGCCCTATTTGTACCCCTTTTATGCAGCACATCTCCCCTCTTCTGCAGCAGGATCGCTGACATCTCTGCAGGGTGCCCTTGGCATGAAGTTCCCATGACGACGATACGGCTTTCCAGGGAAACCGATTCCTAGCTCCAAACCTGCAAGGTCCCAGCATGCCTTGCAAGGTGTGGGGGCAGGGATCACTCACCCTGCTGCTGAAATGCAGCCACCTCTGGGGTGGAACGCACCGGAGAGGAAGTTGCCGCAAACCCTGCTGCATGGATGCTGAACTCCCAGGAAGCAGCCAGGGCTGTAGGAATGCGAGAGCAGCATTTGTCACCGGTTCACAGCGGTGAACAACTTTGTCTGGTATGTTAAACCAAGGCAATGAATAGGTAAAACTTTGTGATCTTGAAATGCGTGCTGCTCCGGAGTGGGGTAGAAAGGGGTGTGGGGCAGGGGATGCTGCCATGTTAGCGCCTGGTGCCCTCCCACAAAGGCGTGCCTGGACCCCCCGTGTTTGGGTGCGTAAGAACCGGAGGCAGATTAACCGGAATGGAGAGTTACCGACGGGGTAGCCGGAATCGGAGCTGTTCAGGTGTCTTTATTCCAACACATTCAGTACTGGGGACTGGCTGGCTCAGGGGGGTGGGGAAATGGGGCATGGGCCCTTTCCCCTCTAGGGGGCATCAGCTCTGACCCCAAGGCAGGGGGCTGCCTGGCTCAGGGGAATGGAATCGGTTCAGTAACCCTTAGGGCACCCTGCCCGCGCTGATTACCGAGGAACCCATTCTTCCCACCCCCCACAGCAAAGCAGTCACTGCCTTGGGGCTCCTCCTGGGCACCCCCATAATGGTGTTGCATCCAGCCCCCCTCCACCAGGGCAAAGCCAATGGTCTGTAGGGCTCTCCCCAGCCCCTGCTACTAACACGCCTTCCTTCTCTCCTAGGCTCTCTGGACCCTGCTGGCAGGAGCCGAGGGAGACCCAACGGAAGGCAGCTGGAGCCAGACACAGCCAGGAATGAATGGATGGGGTGGGAGGTGCAATAAAAGCCCTGACCACTGGGTGGTGCCCTTGTTCTGTACACAGGCCAGCCAGAGATAATGGCTAGGAAATGTGTGGGGGAGAAAAGGTGCGATACCACCAGCTGCCACCCTTGCTGTAGGCCTAGACAACCTGCAGAGGGGAAGTTGCAATACAAGCACTGGCCACTCGGTGGCACCCGTGGTGTGCAATGTTGAGCAGGGAATTCACTGCTAGGAGAGGTGTGATTATTCCCTGCTCCATGACACCCATCCCCACAGGGGATCCCAGCCAGATTCACCCTCACCCTCCACACAGGGCAGCCAGTTTCCCCTCATCTGTGCCCCCCCCCCCGGGTTCCCCCTCAGCCCAATTCCCCCCATACACACAGTCAGCTCCCTCCACACAGGTCTCCATTAGAGCCACATTCCTCTCCAACCCCTCATGTATGGGGGACCGGTAGGGCCCTCTGCCTCAGTTTCCCTCTGTAAAATGGGGATAATGGCACTGCCCTCCCTAGTAAAGCACTTTGAGGTCTGATGAAGGTCACGGGATGGGAGCGTGGGATCCTCCCCCCTGCAAATCTGTCCACACTGACCCATCACGGGGGAGAGGGATGTGTTGATCAGTGTAGCATCATGGGCCTTCCTCACCCTGGCCACCTTGTCCTGTGCCTGCCTGAGCCCCTGCCCAGCCTCCCCCAGGCAACTCTGCACTGCCCCCAGCACCTGCCAGGTGTTCCCCGCAGGTCCCAGCCCAGCTAGGCATCCAGCTGGCTCTAGTCTTTCTCCTTCCCTTGACCCCCTCCAGGTGGCCGGCTCCTCACTCCCTCTGGCTGCAACCTGTACCCCAACTCCCAGGCCCGGGATGGGGAAAAACAGAATCTCCCCACAGGGAACTGGGTTGGGGCAGAGCAGCCACTGGGCCATATTGAGCAGAAAGACCAACCCGCTGGCAAAGCGTCCTGCCCGCATCAGCCTGGCTGGGGTGGGGGATGGGGGAGGGGTGTCAAATCTGAGTGGGTAATGACCCTGAGCACCAAAAACCATACTGGTGTCCCCTCCTTGTACCCTCTCCACCCCCAAATCTCCCCCCACCCCCTTCCTGGTCTCCTCGGTGGTGATGAACATTGGCTGATACAGACTCATTTTGATCTCACCCTGGGTTTTTTTTTTAAATAGTTTAGTGTTGATACAGCCCCTGGGCATGGGCAGTGACATGCTGGGGGGGGGTGGGGGGCCACAACCCCATCTACGCTCAGACTCACACCGGCCTCGTTAGCCCAACTCAGCCAGGTGGCCACCAGCTGCTGCATGGAGGATGTGAGAACAAGGGTGGGGCTGACCATGGTTTAGCTTCACCCTGGTCCCAGTCAGGCTGTAACAAACCCAGCCCCTCATGGGGACTTAGATGCCCATGGGGAGTTGGGCACCTAAAAACCCTGGAGGAGCTGGGTCTGAATTACATTGGAAAAACTTCATTAACCGGGATGGGAGAGTCTGGCCACCCCAGAGCACCCTCTCCCCCATCCCATATGCAATGCCATTATCACGCACTGCCCCAGAGCATCACTCACCACCCCCTCGCTCCCGCTGCTCCTTGGCGCTGCTGTGAGCTGGTGAGGCAGCTCCTCCAGCCAGAAAGTCCTGCCCAGGGTAGCTGAAGTCCAAACTGAACACAAAGGACTGGAAAGCCCCTCGCCCTGCCTAGGCTCACTCAGCAACAGCTCCCTCGTGGGGCCGTCTGCTTGGACACCGAGCACCTTATGAACCAGCTTCAGTTCCACCCCACCCTTGTTCTCCCCAGGCTAGGTCCCTTAGCCTGGTGTAATCCTAGCAGCCCCTGCCAGGCTCTGGGCTTTCAGGCCCACTCCCATCTGGGCCGTGGGCTGGCTGATCCCTGGCTGATGAGGATCAGCTGGGACTGGGAAGTGGGGATGAGCCCAGCTCCCCTTAAAGGGCCAGCCAGCCTGGGACAGGAGTTATCTTCTTGCCAGTGGGTAGGTGGGAGGAGATTGTTGAGTGGATGATTTGGTGAAGGGGGAGTGAAAGTTGGGGGTTACATGCCAGCAGGTGCCCAAGGGGGCAGGGGTGCCAAAGGAGTTGAAGGGTTATAAACATTAGCAGCTGGGGTGTGTTTTCTGGGGGACTGGCTCAGGGTTTGAGTGTAGGGCAGGGGCGCCTCAGTACAGCACATTTAAAAAGTTTTGCCACAGCACAGAGAAGCCATTAGACTCTGTTTGTTCCTTTCTTAAACCTCATCTCCAAGGTGGGGGTCATGCCCCGGGCTCCAAACCCTGCCCCGGCCCTGGATCAGATTATTTTTAACCGGGTAAAGGCGCTGGTCTGTATAATGACCACAAGGAGAAAGTAGGTGTTGGGCTGCTATTCTGTAGAATGACCAGAGGGGGGGAAGCAAGGCATCAGGAAGGAGGGAAGGGAGGGCTATGCTATATAATGACCACATGGGGGAAGCAGGGGATATGGGATGGGAAAGCAGGGACAGCTATACTGTACAATGACCAGAGGGGGGCAGCAAGGGGCCAGGGATGTGGACCAGGACAGCTATACTGTCTAATAACCCCACTGGGGCAGCAGGAAGCGGAGGGATGGGGAACAGGACAGCTATACTGTACAATGACCACACGGGGGCAGCAGGGGGCCAATGATGGGGAAAGGTATTACTATACTGTATGGTGACAGGTTTCAGAGGCGTCGCCGTGTTAGTCTGTATCAGCAAAAACAATGAGGAGTCCTTGTGCCACCTTACAGACTAACAAATTTATTTGGGCATAAGCTTTCGTGGGCTTCAGCCCACTTCATCAGATGCATGCAGTGGAAAATACAGTAGGAAGATATATATATACACAGAGAACATGAAACAATGGGTGTTGCCATACCAACTGTAACGAGGGTAATTAATTAAGGTGAGCTGTTTGGTGAGCTATTATCAGCAGAAGAAAAAAAACTTTTGTAGTGATAATCAGGATGGCCCATTTCCAACAG